ACGTAAAAATACACATATCCTGAAAGTTTGAAGCAAATCGGAGAACTTTTTACTAAGATGTTTTTGCATTTTATGTTTAAACGTAAAATACAAAAACATCTTAGTAAAAAGTTCTCCGATTTACTTCAAACATTCAGAATATGTGTATTTTTACGTCCTGAACAACAACTATTACGTGACCTTTATCGATTTACTTAATAGATTTTGACTTTTATATATAGAAACTACTTCCGGATTTTAAGAAATTATCAGGTGTAGCTTATTTTCAGAATTACAAATTTTCCTATGTTTCTTCTTCAAGAAAAAAGGGGTGGCTTATTTTCGGCAATATATGGTATTATCTAAATTGATTTTCTATACAGCTATTATTACTCAAATAAGTAATTCAGCATAGCACCAAATACCAACAATTACTTCTAAGTGTTAATAAAAAGAAACCTATGACCCATAATTATCGTTATGTAACAGTTTAAAGTACTTTTTAAAAAAAGTAAAACTACGAAGAATTAACAAAAAAGAAGTATATAGAAAGGTTAATTCTATCTTTAAGAAGTCACTATTATGCTAACTTTTTTAAAACTAAAAATAATTTTAATTATCTTTAATGATTGAGTCCTACAACCTTAATAAACCTTTCTATACTTCTTTTTTGTTTATTCTTTGTAGTTTTATTTTTTTAAAAAAGTACTTTAAACTCTATAAATAATGTAAAATTGAATTAATTTAAACTGCCAATCATACGAAAGTCTTCCTATAATATAAAACCAGATATCTGGTATAATGAATTAATTAGAACTTTCCATGCATACTGACACAAGGCTAATATAATAGCATGTGCTTTCTAATATAATTTAGAAGTATTTTTTTTACAGTATATTGATAAATAAATAAATATATATATATATATATATATAACTAAATTTTATTTAATAAAGAATTCCAGTTTGTTGTAAAGTAGTATATATAGTTATTATATTAATCCTAACTATTATTAACATATCTTTGTAAAAAAAAAAATTTTAGTTGTGTAATTTGATTTAGCAAGTTTTAAGTTGAGATAAAAATTTTTTAATGTAGATACTATATCTATCTAGTATCTATTTAAAATCTAAATCTAATCACTAAATAATAAGTATAAAATTTATTTTTAATCTCAAGCCTTACTTTATATATATAGTTATAATATAGTTAAAGCTTATTTAGATATTAAGATAAAAATAATTAGTTATTTATAATTTTATTTATTTTTTAAAAATTTATATTTATATTATTTATAACAAATAATAATTTTTATATATTTATATCTTAGTTATAATCTTATTACTTCATATTTAATAATAATTATACTAATAATACTTATTTAAGCTGTGTTTTTTAGCTTTGTTTAAAACTTTGTTGCAAAATAATTAATAACTTAATTAGTAATTATACATATTATCATATTAAATTTTTAATTTCTAAATTTGTTTAAGCTTTTAATATTTTTACTTATTTGTATATAATTATTTATTTTTTAGATAATGGCATCATCTTCCAGTAATATTGTATCCTCAGAAGAATATCAAAAGCAACTTAGTCGTGAGCACTAAAAATGATTTAGAAATAAAAATAGAGAAACTTTTTCACACTTATTTGATGATGTTTCTGAAGAACTTCAATACTTACTTAATATCGAAGTTTCTACAGTTGTAGTTGAACCTATTGAAACTTCTGCTATAGATACTGATTCCAGTTCTAATTCTGATAATTTCTTGCCTTTACCTAATACTGAAGTTCCTATTATTTCTAATCATGAGTTTATTAATACTCAAAATAATTAAAATTCTTGCCGTAATAAAACTAAACATCATGATATGAGTAGAATAGATCAGACCTGTCAACATTGTAAAGCTAAATTTTGGATGATTAAAAAAGATCAAAATAGTAGAATTGCTGCTCCAAAATTTTCTCTTTGTTGTACTAATAACAAAGTGCAATTACCACCTTTACTTGAACCTCTACCTTATTTACTAAATTTTTATACTTTAACTAACCCTAATGCAGTTGAATTTCATAAACATGCTAGAGGTTATAATAGTGCCTTAGCTTGCACATCTTTTGGTGCTAATGTAGATAACTAATTTTTGGAACATGATATAGCAAATTTTCGAATTCATGGCCAAGTTTATCATTTAATTGGATCATTATTACCAAATGAAGGTCACATATTAGCATTTGCTCAACTATATATTTATAATACTGCGAATGAAATTACAAATTGTCAAAATTCAATACACGAATTAAATGAAAATGTTTTACAAAGTTTACAGAATATGCTGGATATCTGCAACCCATATATTCAAAATTTTTGGCATGCAAGAGATATTATAAGTGATAATATAATTACTGAAATTTTAATGATAATTTGTAGTGATAGAAATCAAGATATTTGCTATTATAATGCTCTAACAGCTTCTAATGTAGCTGCAATAATAGTAGGTGATAGATATGAGGTAAATCCAACAAGTCGAAATATTCTTCTTAGAACACATGATGGAAATTTGCAGCGAATAGCAGAGTTTCATCCTTTATATGACCCACTTCATTATGTATTATTATTTCCTAAAGGTGATGATGGATGGCATATAAATATACTACTCATAAATGCTGTAAAAAGAGAATGAGTAACAGCTATGCAATTTTACTCCTATAGATTGCAAATTAGAAATAATGATTAGATACAGTGTGCTGGCCATTTATATCAACAGTATATTGTTGATCAATATGCTAAAATAGAACAAAATCATTTAATTTATCTTAAACATAATCAAAAATCTCTTTGTGCTGAATTTTATCAAGGTATTATAGATGCAATACATGCTGGAAATTGTAGTAATACTGTTGGTCGTTGTATAATCCTTCTATCATTTTTTATGAGTAGGCCACGTCAAATGTATTAGTTATATCAAGATGCAATGGCAATTATTACTCATTTTGGAAAACTAAATCTTTTTGTCATATTTACATGTAATTCTAAATAGCCAGAAGTTACTAGAGAACTATTACTTTATCAGAATGCTATTAATAGACCTAATTTAACAGCCCATGCATTTTATATAAAATTACAAGCACTATTAAAAGATTTGTGTAATAATCATTGGCTTGGTAAAGTTATTGCATATATATATGTAGTAGAATTTCAAAACCGTGGTCTTCCACATGCATATATTTTATTAATTCTTGCTTCAGATAACAAATTACAAACTACAGAAGATTATGACTCCATTGTCTCTGCTTTACTCCCTGATATTTACACACATCCTCTTGCCTATAAAACAGTAACAACTATGATAATACATGGTCTATGTAGTTTATTAAAACCTGATGCACCATGTATGAAGGATGGTGTTTGTACAAAACATTATCCTAAAACTTTTTAAGAACATACCTTGAAAAGTAATAGTGGGTATTCTATTTATTGCAGATGAGACAATATATGCTTTGTTAAAAATAAAAACCCATTAGACAATACATGAGTTGTGCCACATAATGTCAAATTATATACAAAATACAATGCTCATATTAATGTTAAAATTTGCAGTTCTATAACAGCTATTAAATATTTATATAAATATATATATAAAGGGCATGATTGAGCAACTGTTACATTTACTCATTCCAACCAAGCTGATAATCAACAACTTCTATCTAAAGTTGCCCAAATTGATGAAATCAAAATGTATCTAGATACAATATATGTTTCAGCTTCAGAAAGTATCTGGAGAATTTTTCATTATAAATTGTATAAGCATAGTCCAAAAGTACAAAGGCTTGCTGTTCATTTTCCTAGACATCGCTATGTTACATTTCAAGATGAAAAAAATCATATGACAACTTTGACAGCCTAGTTTCAGGAGAATATGCAAAACCCAATGGCACATATATATTCCTATGTTGACTTTCCTTCTTATTATACTTGGAATTCTTTACACTGCAAATAGATACCTAGAAAAACATCAGCAACTATAATTGGTCGACTTTATATAGTACAACCTTCGAAAGATGAAAAATATTACTTACAAGCTTTACTTAGTCATGTAAAAGGTGCAACTAGCTTTGATGATCTAAAAACTATAAATGATTATACATGTAGTAGCTTTAAAGAAGCTTGCTCTTATTTAGATCTTCTTCAAGATGATACTAAATAGGATGCCTGTTTGCTTGAAGCAACTTCTGTACAGACAGGACACCAACTATGATAGCTTTTTGCAACTATACTTTTATTTTGCCAACCTGTAAAATCTGAGTTATTATGGAACAATCATAAAATTGCATTATGTAAAGATATTTTATATCAAGCTTATGTGCAATTACAAGATTCTGAAGATGCAAATAATATTCCTGCTGCAATTGAAAATGAAGCTCTTACTCAATTAGAATATACTTTTACTAAATAGAAAATCTTTAAAAAATTTTTCTGATATGCCAATTCTCTCTATTACTTCAAATATCAGTAATAATAAAAAAGAATTAAATCATTTAATACGTGAAGAAAGATCTTACAATATAATAGACTTAGAAGCCGAATCACAACGCAATATATCTTTGTTAAATAATGATCAACATGCAGTATTTGATGCTGTTATAAAAGCAATTGACAATGAAGAAGAAGAATATTTTTTTATTGATAGACTAGGTAGTACAGGAAAAACTTTTTTATATAACACTTTACTAGCAAGTGTTAGATTACGTTGTAACATTGCTTTGGCAGTAGCCTCTTCAGAAATTGCAGCACTTTTAATAAAAGGTAGACATACAGCTTATAGTTGTTTCAAAATTCCACTTAAACCTAATGAATCTTCTACATGTAATATTTCACGAAATAGCAAAAAAGCTTATTTAATCAATATTGCAAAACTTATTATTTGGGATGAAGCTTCAATGACTAATAAATTTGCATTTGAAGCTCTTAATTGAACATTTTGTAATACAGTCGTCCTCCCATACAATCACACAGTTGGGCACATAGTAACTTTTTTTTAAAATGTGCTTATAGAGGAGTTATGCTTATATGGAGGTTTTTTCTTATAAATTAAATTATATTTTAGTCTAGATAAAAATGTGATTACATATGATGTGATTATATGGGAGATGACTATATGGAGGAACGACTGTATTATGCAAGTAGATAAACTATTTGGTGGAAAAGTTATTGTTTTTGGTGGTGATTTTTGTCAAGTACTATCTGTTGTATCTCATAGATCTTGTACAGATATTGCTTTAGCTAGCTTACCTTGCTCTTCATTATGGAGTAATATGAAAGTTATAAAATTAACAATTAATATGAGACTTTAGCAAACTAATGATATTAATGAGAATCAAAGAC